ATTCTTAGGCAGTAAAATTTCAGAAAGATGGTTTTAGACCCTAGCACTGAAGAGTTTATTTGGAAGTCAATAGCTACAAATGAGAGCTGTTTATTTTCACAGGATTCTCAATTCTCTTCAAAGAGAATTTATCAAGCAAGGAGTCTGACCTTTCAGGTAAACTTATCCATGCAGATCTAAGAGAAGGTTGATTCCTGCTGAAGATAATCTATCCCTCTACACACACACACCCCCCCTCAGATTTTGACATTATTCCTTCTTTTCCACACAGCTCCAGTTTTAAGTTACTATCCATGTTCCTAGCCACGTTCTCACCACTTCAGTTGTACCCTAGCTTCCCCCAGACACCTTGTAGCCCCACTTGGCTTAACAGGATACACTCAAAATCTATCCAACAACTGCATAACAACTATATATACTTTATTATTGGGATATTGACTTATTTCAATTCAGGGAAACCCCAACTCAAAGCTGCCCTGTGAAGATGAATACATGAGTGATAGGACTTACTGCGGTGAGATTTAGGTCCAGATTGGAAGCTACAAGTGTATAGCGCAAGAGAAGAAGAGGGAAAGGAAGATTCCACTAGTTGCAGCTTATGTGAAGAATACCCAGTAGCAAAGAGATGACAAAAGTAAGGAGGCCAGATCTTGGACCTTGTCTCTCTCTGCTTTACAGAATATCCTGGGATCTACAGCACACATGTGTAAGGAAGTTAATAAACCCATCCAACATCATTCTCACAAATGAGTCTGGAAATAAAATGTAACAGCAGTTTTTCTACAGAGCCAAGTATTGCAAGCTAGGAATACTAACTGGTTCATTTATTTCACTGATTATCATATGTAGATGTGACACATCAGGCACTGATTTTTCAGTAAACCACCCTTTTAAGTTAACTTGCCTTCTATTTTCATCAATGTATTCATATTCTTGCCACAAATTTTACCTTCATTTTTTTTTTTTTTAAGATTTCCCCCCAGTCCAAGAGTCTCATTTGCCAAAAAAATCAAGTGCTGTTTCTATCATCTCAAGCAATTTCTGTCATCAGCTACCATGCAACTATAGGGATCAATTACCTATGCTTCATGCAAAATCTTAGCATGCTGAGTTGCACTGACAATATTAGTCCAGTCTTATTTCAAATTACTTTTAACTAAAAAAGATCTGGTATTTAAATAAAAACTTCAAACAAGGCTGGGAATATCAAAGTCTTTCCTTATTCTTTCAGATTTTAACAGGATTCCATTCTCCCTACACTCACAGTGCTTTGTTATATGGGCAGCATAGGGGAAAATAGGAAGAAATACAAAATAATGGCAAAGTCCTTGATATCCTGCACTTTAAAAATAGGAGAGCCCCCTCCCTAGTACACATATAATAAAGCAAACCAAGTCTCCATGCACTGCTTCTAGGCAATAAGAAAACTTGCATGGGGAAAACTTTTGGGGAGGAAATAAAGGTGATTTTTAAGCTGCTATTGCAGTTGTATATGACACTGACATTTATTTCCCATAATTCTTGCCCACAGGAAACACATCCTTTAAGAAACTGAACAAAATCAAGTTGGACCTTTTCAAAATCTGCAAGCTATCAACTTCCTGGAAAAGCTTAAACACCCCCAACGCAATCAAATCAATTTAAAGAGCACTGGCATTCAGGCGTTGAGGCGGAAGGCAGTCCACCTTGAGAGTGCTCCTAATCTGGTTGTTCTTCAGCCTGAATCCTTAAATGAGAAAGTGCGCTGGGAAATGAGAAGAATGCCTCCTCTCCGTGAAACCAGACACCCTTTTGGAATCTGGGCTGAGCGCTAGAATCTGGATCCCACCCCCTTGCCTACCTCCAGGCTCCAGCAAGCAGCGGTTGGCTTCCTTCCTCCGCTCCTTCCGCAGCAGCGGACACACGGATCCCGAGCAGCCTGAAGCTTGGGTCCCGCAGAGCGCTCGTGCCAAGCGCTTCTCTCCACTAGTTACCAAATTAGAAAAGGGGCAGAGACGCGCAAGCAGGATGGTGGTTAAAATCCAGGTTTTAGGCACCAGCGTCCCAGAAGGTCCCGACGCTTCTTCTGTACTCTTACCCAGCTCTTTCGCCTGGCAAACGGTTACCCAGGGACCTGGGAGCCCCTGGCAGCAGCTCCTTCTCTTCTGCTCTGCCTGATCCCTCCAATCTCCGCCGCCGCTGCCACACTGCACGCCCCGCTATCCACTCACCGCACAGAGAGGAGGCCTGGCTGAGACAGCGCGGAGGCAGGAGAATGGATTAAACGGATAGATTTTTCGGGTAGGGGAAGAAAAACTTTGATGTTGGAACCGCACACACAGGACTAAGAAACCCTAACAAGTTGCAGGTGCCGGGGCGGGGAGGACGCTTTCGCCAGCTCTGAGACAAATCACCCCCGACCAAAACAGGGAGAGGAAGCTCTGTGCTCCTTGAGCGATCCCCGAGCGCACTTCGTAATATCTGGTCTTCGAGTCTACTGGAAAAGCATAGGGTATGAGAAGCCCTTTTGGTTCTCTCCTGGGATGCAAAACCAAATGCGCCTCCCGCTGGAGAGGCTGGCGGGGGAGTCAGTGCAAAGAGGTCAGACAGAAACGCAGATCCTGGAAGAGCGAGGGGCAACCAGGGCTGCCGCCTGCTAGAGCAGAGGCGCGACTCCCTTCGGGCAAAGCGACTGCTACAAACTCCGTTCCCTCCTACTCAGGGACGGGCACATTTAAGGGCTTGAACAGACGTCAGCACCAGCTGAGCTCCAGGGGTGAGCGCCAAGGCTCCCGCCCCGCAGGCTGTAGCGCGCAGAGGGCGACCTGCTTGCGCCGCTGGGTGACCTAGTAGAACACAGCTCTGGCGGCTGTTTGTCAACCCCCAGAGCCCATGGTGAAGCCCATCGTAAATGACGTACCGGTGGTATTTACTGGGTTGGTGCACTTGCCGAGTCGAACAGAGCCACGGCTGCGTGAGTAGGATCTGACCACTCTGCGCGCACCCAGCATTAGGTCATCAAGGCGCTCAACACTTAATCACAAGGGAACTCACCTCCCTCTTTCGCGGTGGCTTGAGTCATTGCTCTGATTCACTTTGCAAAGTTAGTTGAAATAGACGCCTTTTAAAATATAAAGGGGATTAAAATTTTCAATCTTGAAATTCCAATCAAGACAATAGTCAAATCTTTGCTTTATCCCCATATGCATATTTCCTAATTCAGAGTTACAACAGATGAAACTATTCGAAGTGGGGAAAAAAACAAAAAGCCCTGCACTCTTTTTCTTAAGTGATTTTCATGCTTAGATACTCACTAGGAACTTAGAAGCCTTTACACAAGGACATGGTATTTCTACTTACTTAAAGTGGCATTTTCTAACGGTTTTGTGGCCATTTCCAGGTGGGCAACAGGGAATTAAATTCAAAGTCAGAAGTGTGATGAAAAGGAATTTTGTTTCTTCATCCTTTGTTAAACGACCAAGTATGTTTCCAACTGAGTTTTACACTTTGCCTGAATAATGATGTAACATGTATCTGCTATATTTTTGAAGCAGTAGAGTAAGATTAAACAAGTGTGGAAAAATAATTCAGAAAACAGGATTCACACCTCCACAGCCCCTTCCTAAATTTCCTTCAGGAAGAACGCAATTAAGGGAGTAGGTGTCCAGGCTCTGTTCTGGGCACCTTGTGACTTTCAGTGTCCCGCCTAGGGATAACAGAATGGGAAGTCCCAAGATCAAAGGAACCTGCAATTGTAAAGAGAAGATAGCACTTATATTTTCTCCCTTTGTGCATGTCCAACCTAGCCAAGGTAGATTCCCCTTTATCACAATCAGTCCAAGCCTTTTAAAAGTGGCAAATACAAACAGAGCAGGCTTCATATTTGCGCCATCACGCAGGACTGCCCAAAGGTCCTCCCTCTGGTGGTCGTCTACAGGAAACACTCGTGTGTGTGTGCGTGTGTGTGTCTACACACGATCATGTGTGCTTGCTGGTTTGTGTGGGAAGACTGATCACTGAGAGAACCCACCAATCACCTGCACACTGCAGTTTAAAGTTTCGTCTTCTTCCTCAGACCCTGGCCCTGAGCTGGGAGGGTCTTCCCAAACTTTATTTTAGAGAGGCATTGCTGTAAATGTGTTGGAAACTGGCAACAGTGACAGTGTTTTTGCTCTTTGTAGTGAATATATCCCAAAAGATAGAAGTTGGGATTGTGGAAGGGAGTCGAATATATAAGGACTTTGGAAAAACATGAGCAGCATAAACCAACTAGTTTTTCTTCAAATAAATGAAACTTCCTAAAAAGTCGGGGACAGAGTTAATTTGGTTTGTTGTTGCCTATACCTTGCACTCCGTTTGGTTCAAAGTCTCCCAAGTTCAGCATCCCTCAGAAAGCTTTTGGGTTGGGGGAAGGCTTCATCACAGTAAAAAGAACTGAAGGCCTGCGCCTGTCTCCCTGGAACCAAGAGGGTCCCATCCCACCCCACGGTTATGTAGCTTTCTGGGAGGCCAGTGACTATCTGGAGAATCCCCGGGTTTTCCATCGGACTCAGAGTCAGATTACGGGGGTGAGGGGCAGCCTGGACGGAGAGGGAAACAGGTAGGCGTCCATGTTTCAGGTCGGGTGGGAGCGAACCCGTGAAAGCATTTAGTGGGAACTCCTTTCTGGGCAGGAACCTCAGGGTGTCCTGTCCTCAGCTGCTGGGCTGGTGCTGGTTCATTGGGAGGAAAGAGATACCCCAACCATTCACGAATCAGATCTTCATGCGCCGCAAGACCCGACACCAGCGGCGCCCTCAGCCAAGTAGGTACGAAATCCGAGTCTAGTCCTCGCTCAGGGGTTGAGTCGCTTTCCCAGAAGAGGAACGACCTCGCAAAGGCGGCAATGCTCACGGGAGATTTTCTAGCGCGCAATGTTGCTCCCTTCACTCACCTCACTTCCACCTCTACACACACACACACACACACACACACACACACACGATTCGATGGCTCTGATTCGAAAGGACACAGAAAAGGCCTCACTCTCTGTTGTCCCCTCCAACGCCCGCGCCCAGGCGAATGTCCGGAGCTGCCCGGAAGCCGAGCCCCTGAGCAACGACCTCCGCGCGCTGTGCCAGCGGCGGGCCTGGGCACGGTCTCCGGGACAGACACAAACACGCAGACTCAGCCAGCCACCGGGACGATCCCGGCTGTAGTCTAGGCGTCCGGAAGCAAATGCCTGACAGCTTCTCGCACCAACTGGTTGAGCTGGCGCCAGGAGACCTTCCCTTCCCCGAGAGCTTCCGATCTGCGAGCGGGAGGGGCGGCCAACTGCGGGACGAGGGCGCCCCCAGCGCTGCCGGGCGCGTCGGGAACTGCAGTCGGCGCGCTTCCGCCCGTTGAGCGCGCTGTCCTTCAGGCCTGAGCGGTAGGCGCTGGGGCAGAGCGCCTAGATAAACGGAGGGCTGCAACTTTGTATGAGGTCTTTCCTCCTCTGTTTCCTTTCTGGGACACCGACTCTTCATCTCAACCAGATCACCAGGTCCTGGTTGTTCCTTTGACTCTAACCGGATTCACCTGCGTCCCTGCCCCAAGTAACAGGCGACCTAAGTGAGTGAGTGCAAGTCCCTCAGACGTGTCCGACTCTTCCATGGTAAGAGGGTGACTACTTCATTAGAGACAACAATTCACCTGATGTATTCAGAATATAATATAATATTTTTGGCAAAGTCTGTTTGTGTTATATTCGTAAGTTAGAACTAAAATACACTGAAAAATAAATGCTAGGAGTCTTAGAAACTAAATACAAGTATTGTGTTACCAAATGAAAGTCACTCAATCGTGTCCAACTCTTAGCGACCTCATGGACTATACAGTCCATGGAATTCTCCAGACCAGAATACTGGAGTGGGTAGCTTTCCCCTTCTCCAGGGGATCCTCCCAACCCAGGGATCGAACCCAGCTCTCCCGCATTGCTGTCGGTTTCTTTACCAGCTGAGCCTGGTGACAAAACAGGATGTGTACTTACTAGCATGAAGTGAGAATCTGCTCTTTGGATCATAGGATCAAGTTTCCAAAAACTAGGAAATAACTTCCTCTTGAATGCATCTGAAAGAATCAACCTTCTTTGATGCGGCTTTAGATCAGTCAGAGCAAGGCTTCCTTCGGCTAATCTAAGCATGCCCTCCCTGCCTTTTCTTCTTTTCCCCTCCTTCTTTGATAAATCAAAGAAATATAATCTGTAATATTGGAAAGAGTAGCAGTTGTTTTTGCTTCTGTAAGCTAAATGATACATTTTATTTATTTTCTGTCCTAAGTGAAAGTATTTTTGCTGCAGTACCTACAGTAGAAGAGCTACACATATCAACAGTAATTAATTAGACTAAACTTGCATGATGATAAATAATATTAATTTTATTATGACCTGATTTAGTTATTAAAAAAATCTTATGACAAATCATTTCCTTAGATCTAGAGAAAATTCATCTATAACATGAAAACAGAAATACTACTTTTAAAATATTGTTCATTTATGAATATATTTTATATATATTAATATTCTTATAGATTAAGTCATGGTACTTGGAGATCCTTGTCACAAATGCTAAAAGTGAATCTCAAAAAGATATTGGAGAAATGATGGACTTTAGAGGGAAATATTTAGGGAAATAGCCTATAATTGAATATTTGCTTTGTTAATCTATATTTTGAAACAGTTGATAGTTAAAATATTAACTTAATTTTTATTGTTGTTTTAAAGTTTATATTCAATTTATAATTATTATAAAATATTTTCTATATTCTGCTTGTTGTACAATGTATCAAAGTAACTTATACCAAATAGTTTGTACCTCTTAATACCTTACCCCTATGTTGACTCCCCACACTTCTCCCTTCCCAATGGCAACCACTAGTTTGTTCTTTATATATATGAATCTGCTTCTTCTTTAGTATATTTTCTAGTTTGTTTCATTATTTATATTTCTCATATAAGTGATAGCATACAGTATTTGTCTTTTTCTGTCTGACTTATTTCACTTATCATAATGCCCTCCAAGTCCACCCATGTTCCTGCTAATGGCAAAATTTTCATTCTTTTTATGACTGAGTAGTATTCCGTTGTGTGTGTGTGTGTGTGTGTGTGTGTGTGTGTGTGTGGGTACACCATCTATTATTTATCCATTCATCTGTTGATGGACCATTAGGTTGCTTTCTTTCTTGGCAGTTGTAAATAATGCTGATATAAACATCAGGTGCATGTATCTTTTAGTATTATTGTTTTGTTTTTTGGTACATACCAAGAAGTAGAATTGCTGGTTCATATAGAAGTTCTATTTTTAATTTAAGAAACCTCCATACTGTTTTCCAGGTGGCTGCACCAATCTACATTCCCTTCAACAGTGTCTGAGGGTTTCATGTTTTCCACATTCTCACCAATATAATTATTTGTGTTCTTTTTGTTGATAGCCATTCTGACAGGTGTGAGGTACTATCTCATTGTGGTTTTGATTTGAATTTCTTTAATAATTAGCAGTACTGAGCATCTTTTCATGGACCTGTTGGCCATCTGTACTTCCCCTCTGAAGAAATGTCTATTCAGTTTTTCTGCTCATTATTTTCAGTGATGAAGTTCTATTTTCTTTATTTTTTTAAACTTTATTGAACAATAGTTGTTTATAATATATAAGTTACAGGTGTACAATAGAGTGATTCACAATTTTTAAAGGCTATAATCCATTTGTAGTTATTATAAAATATTGGCTATATTCCCTTGAAAAATATTTCCTTGTAGCTTACTTTATTTTTTTTATTTAATTTAAATATAGCAGTGCATACATGTTAATAAATTGGGTTGCTTATTTCTTTGATGTTGAGTTGTATGAACTGTTTATATATGTTGGCTGTTAATTGTTTATGGGTCATATCATTTACAAATAATTTCTCCCATTTCATAGGTTGGCTTTTTATTTTGTTGGTGGTTTCCTTTGCTGTGCAAAGAAGAAAGATGAATGAAGTCCAAATTGGAAAGGAAGAAGTTAAACTTTCACTCTTTGCAGATGACATGATATTATACGTAGAAAATCCTAAAGACACCACCAGAAGACTATAAAGCTGATGGGTGAATTTGGTAAAGTTGTAGGGTACAAAATGCAGGATACAAAATGCAAAAATGCAGGATACAAAAATCTTTTGCATTTCTATACACTAACAAAAAGCTATCAGAAGAAGAAATTAAGGAAACAATCCCAGTTACAACTTCATCAAAACAGTAGAAACCTAGGAATAAGCCTATCAAAGGAGGTAAAAGACCTGTACTCAAAAAACTGTAAGACACTGATGAAAGAAACTGAAGACCATAGATGGAATAGTATACTGTGTTCATGGACTGGAAGAACTAATATTTTTAAATGACCACATAACCCAAGGCAATCTATGGATCCAGTGAAATCTCTAACAAAATTCCAAGGGCACTTTTACAGAACTAGAACAAAAAAATTTAAAATGTGTATGGAAACATAAAAGATCCTGAAGAGCCAAAACAATCTTGAGACAGAAGTACAGAACTATAAGTATCATGCCCTCTAACTTCAGACTATACTGGTATATGGCGGTGCCTACTTATATGCTAAATCGCTTCAGTCATGTCTGACTCTTTGCGACCCTGTGGACTGTAGCCCGCCAGGCTCCTCTGTCCATGGGATTCTCCAGGCAAGAACACTGGAGTAGGTTGCCATGTCCTCCTCCAGGGAATCTTCCTGACCCAGGGATTGAACCTGCATCTCTTTCATCTTCTGCATTGGCAGGCAGATTCTTTACCACTTGAGTCACCTGGGAAGCCAGTATATGGTCGGGACACCCTAAATGACTGTTCTCTTTCTCTCTGTCTATCCCCTGGTTGATCAGTGCTTGCTTCACCTACATCTTACTTATCTGACTGACCTTCCTACCTACTTATCCCACCCCAGCTAGTGACTATTCTAACTCTTAGATCAGAACATCTCCACCATTGATAGCTCATCAAAGGGGTAGTGAGGGGTAGTGAGTGCCAAGTAACCAATGAAGTAACCTGACTCAATTCTCCCTGTAACTGGTAAACTTCTCTTCCTCCCAGGAGCAAAGTCTGCCCACATGTCCTGTCCACCATCTGCCACACATGGCGTAGTATCCCTCCAGGACCATGCTTCAGACATGTAAGAGCTTGCTAGCCGATAAACTATTGATGTGTCTGTGACTGACTCTGGGCTCTTTCTTTGGTTTTGAATCTGGATAATCATAGGCTTTATAGGCCTGTAGGATGCATCCCAACAACTTCAAAGCTACAGTAATCAAACTGGTATGGTATTGGCACAAAAACCGACCCACAGATCAGTGGAACAGAATAGAAATCCTAGGAATAAACCCACACACTGACAGTCAATTAATCTACAATAAAGGAGGCAAGAATATACAGTGGAAAAAGTTTCTTCTGAAAGTGGTGCTCAGAAAACTGGACAGCTACTTGTAAAATAATGATATTTCACTAATATCATATACAAAAATAAGCTCAAAGTGGATTAAAGACCTAAATGTAAGATCAGATACTGTAAACTTCCTAGAGGAAAACATAGGCAGAACATACTTTGACATAACTTGTAACAATAATTTCTTGGACCTGTCTCTTAAAATATAGGAAATAAAAACAAATATAAAAAAATGGGACCTAATTGAACATTTTTATTTTTAATTGTGGTAAAAAACACATTACATGAAATTTATCATTTTAACCATTTTCAAGTATACAGTTGAGGAGTGCTAAGTTTATGTACATTATTGTGCGACAGAGCTCTAGAACCATTTCATCTTACACAACTGAAACTCTACACCCATCAAAAAACTTGCCCTCTCTTTAGCCACTGTCTTTCTTTCTCTCTCTCTCTCTCTCTCTTTTTCTGAATGTAGGTAACCATCTGCAAGCCAGGAAGGGTTCCTACCATAAACCAAATCTACTGGTACATTGATCTTGAATTGCTCTACTTCCAAATTTGTGAGAAATAGATTTTTGTTGTTTAAGGCCACCCAGTCCATGATATTTTGCTATGGCAGCATGAGCAGACCAATACATATGTTAATTCTATTTTGATTTCTTGGTCAGTCACCATATTGCTTTCCATAGCAGCTGCACCACTTTACATTCCCCTCTATAAGGTACAATGTTCTTATTTCTCTACATCCTTGCTCACACTTGTTACTTTGTTTTATAGATAATAATCATTCTAGCAAGTGTGAAGTTGTTAGGGGATACATTGACTGAAACAACCCATTTGGCCAGGCACCACAGTATTCATTTGCATGAGTTATTTTATGACAGGAGGTCCTGATAAGGAACATGGAACCAATAAACCACCAGTAACCCAAAGAGTTTGGGAAAGGTCAGTAAGAGACGCCATGTGTCTTACTACCTCTCAGAATCCTTGTTGGTATCCATACTGGCTGATCAATATGTGTACCACCAGGAAGGACTCTGAGTCAGAAAGATTGGCCAAAG